TTTTATCTATCTATCTATCTTGTCTCAGTCCCAGTTCTATGATCCATTGCTATGATATGATATTAGAATTTCTGTTTTGGTCAGTTTGTAGTCAACCCTTTTGTTTTGACTCTGCTTCTGGTAGTATACATACAGTGTTCCTTCTGAAACAGGGGAATTTTTCTTTTTTTACTTTTTTGTTATCCAAATTCCAAACCCAACAAGGAAATTGAAGATTTTGATGTTTAGAAACTCAATAAATGATATGCATTGATTATCAGCTGTATTATTGGATTCATTTGTTTAAATTATGTTTCTCCGACATACCCATTTGTTGGTTACGCTGAAAAATAAAATAAAAGTGCTCCATTTGAAACCATTCGGTAGCAGAAGTCGGAAACTTTGGTCCATTGACAGTGAGGGCCATGGACCAGAAGCTTCACTCTGGCCACTGCGCGATGGCGATGGCACAACCGGGAGGGGAAATTGTGACTAGTAAATTTTTAAGAACAGACCTTTCTTTTCTTAGAATAAACAATAATTTATTATTATTTTTTTTTATAACGGGGGAATCAGAGTTTTGCTTCTCTAAGATTCAAACTTCAAATCTCTAAAGTTGGTATGACCAAAAGTTTCAAACATTTTTTCAATTGAGCTACTCTTGAGTGTAAAATGGCTGTCTTTTCTTTTTCTTTAGAACATTTTGGAAAACTTAGAAATTGAAAATTGAATTAATTATCAAATAATTAATTTTCTTCTTTTTTTTAATCTAATTCCAGAAAGTATAACATGATTAATTTAAATTTCAGGTTCTTGAATGATGGAAATTCAAAAGAATAGTTTAATTTCATAAGAATAGTTTAAAAAGAATAGGTTGTTTAAAAAGTTAAGTTATATTCTTTTAATTTCATAAGAATAGTTTTTAAACTTTCTTCCTAAATTAATATTATTATATTATTGGAGATAGAGGGAAAAGAACAGTTCAGAAAAGGACACTATCAAAGATTAAAGAATTTGAAAGATAAGTTGGAGGGACAGGGGAGGGTTACTTGTAAGTTGTAAAATTTTAAAAAATAGATCTTAAATTCTATTTTGGAAAATAGACCTGCAATTTTATTTTGCAAAATAGATCTTGAATTTCATTTTAAAAAGACCTCAAATTTTTTTAACAAAAAATAACCTTCATTTTTCCTTTTTTTTTTTTTAAAAAAAAAATAGAAGATCATTTATTTAGAAAACTATATTTTTTTCATAAATTAGTTATAAAAGAACATTTTTTTAAACTTAACCAATGAAAATGGTATGAGTCATTAATTATGTATTTTAAAAAATTTGATAAGAATAGTTTTTAAACTTCATTCTTAAATTTATATTAATAAAATATTAATTATTAAAGGGATGGAAAAAAGTTATAAAAGAGAACATTATTAAAAATTCATAAATTAGAAAAATGTACCTTAGAAAGAGAACTTAAAAGAGAGATAGAAAAGGTAAAGATAAATATAGGTTGTAGAGAGACAGAGGAAGGTACTTGTAATTTGTAAATGGTACAATTTAAAAAGTAGGTTTTAACTTTTATTTTGGAAAATAAATCTCCGATTATTTTTTAAACATATACCTTCATTTTATTTTTTGGAAAAATATAAAATCATAAAACTTATTATTTTTTTCTTTCTTGGTTTTAAAAGTAAGTTACAATACTTAAAAAAAAATGATTAGGAACAGTTTTGCAATCTAAACTCAAAAATGGAATCAGTAGTCTAAATTAGGATTTTAGTTAGGTTTCGTCGAGATTGGGATGGGATGGAGATTCAAATCAAGACAGAAACACCATAAAATATGAAAACTTTCATTTCCTCTTTAAAGTAATTTATCCCAAATCCAATCGAGAGCAAAACATATTATTTTTATAATTGGGTTGGAGATTCGAATTCATAACATTTTAGTCGGAGTAGGTACCTTAATAGTTAGCTTTTTATTTGTTTTTCAATTTGAACACAATCCAATAGATAAGCATATATTAATAATTTGGTGTTACATATTATAGAGATCTATAATATGGTACTAATATAACTAGATGAGATATCAATAAAACATCATTAATGTGTTTTTTTTTTGAGACTATCATTAATGTGTGTTTAATAATAATAATAATAATTCTTTAATTTATTTGAAAATTATGAGATGCCTTATTTATTAATTTAAATGTTAGCTTTTATCTATATTTTCATCCAAATCTCTATAAAATTCAGTAAAATAAGATGGTTCCCTTCCAGTGGTGGAGAGTCGTTAATCGTTACCTCTCTGTTTCAGATTTCGGAACTCAGAAAGTGAATAAAAAATGTTATCTATGGCGATCGACAGCTTCTCTCCGACGAAATCGGTGGCCGGAATTGAGGCTCAGAGACCATGTAACCAGGAGTCGTCTTCCACACCTAGCCGCTTACAATTGAAACCGAAATCGAAATTTCCATCGGTTTCAGAGACCAAATCTACGAATCTTCGCATTGATTTTCATCATAAGCTACTCAACAAGCTTAATGTGCTCCCGTTTATGCGAGTTTGCTGCTCTGTTTCTGCCCTATTTGACTGGTTAGAGCCATTATACCCATTCTCTCTCTCTCTCTCTCTCTCTCCCTCCATTTTTATTTATTCTCCATCAAATGTTTGATTGATTCTGAACTTCTGAGCTTCGTGTATAGAAAAGGATTCAACAAGTCCTCTGCGAATCGGAATTGTGAATGTGTTTTTGAGATTTTCCTCTTGGGTATAGGATGTTAATTCTTTTTATGACTAGCTTACGTAGAAGCATTGTTTGTATTATTGTTTCCGTGACTGATAATAGTTTTCTCTGCAGGGATTCGTGGAGTTGTATGTTGTTGAATTTCTTTGGTATTTCTTGGAGATGGGCGACTCAAATTACCTCCTATTACTTGTTCTTGCTTTGTTTAGCCGTGCAAGCCCACGATTATCCATCTCCTTCTGTTAGATATCCTTGTGAAGACGTTAACAAGTACTATTCTCATGTACCACAGTTGACAGGAAAACCTCTCAAACTTAAGCTGAATTCCATGATTGCAGCACATCATTCCTTGTCCTACAATGAGGTGCCTTTATTTTTCATAACGAACTTTTAGTTTTAGCTATAGCTTGACTGCTCCCTCTTCTAGCTTGTATAATAAGTTACTTAGGCATGTAATGCTCAGCTAAGAGGATTTGATGAACAGGTCTGGGAAGCTATCAAGATTCTTGATGCTGCTGATGTGGACAAACCAGAAGTCTCATCAGCAATGTAACGCTCATTACAGCTGAAACCACTTCAGTTTTTGTTTTATTTGTAATTTCCATTCATACAAATCTAATTATTTCATGAAAATGTAACTTTTCCCATTTTGGTGAAGTGGCCATTTTAGAGCAATTGCACCTTAATAATTCTACAGCGTTTTTTAAATTCTACCTGAATATTTGTTGTCAACTTTTACCGCAGAGTGGAGATCTACTCGCAAAGGATTGTGTCAAAGTCTCTAGCAGGGAAAAGCAAGGGTTGGAACAGTAAGTTCTTTAGTGAACTAATTATGGCAATTACAATGTAAAGTGTCTAAACTAAACACCTTATACAACATGCCTTTCACTTTGATCTCCTGCTCTAAAGCTTTCAGTTTAACTGTTTAAGCAGCTTTCTTAACAATTGAGCAAAGGATGAATGTATGCCTGTACATACTTTACTGTAGAAGGTAACAATCTTTATGTGGTATGGCATTGCAAACTAGCAGCATCATTTATAGGTGAAGTGTCTTTTTCCTTCTTTTTCATTTTGTTATTCAGGGGAGCATTTGTGGCCTCGTTCGTATGGGCTAAGAGGTCCATCCTTGACCGATTTGCAGAATATCCATCCAGCAGATAAAAATGGTAATTTGAGAATTTTCTATTCTGGCAACAAGTCGATGAAATTCGTGGAATATTAGTAACTAATTGAAGTTTGTGCAGTGAATTCCTCCCGGGGAAACAAATATTTTGGAGAATGCCAAGTTAATTCCCCACGATGTTTGAAGCCAGCCTATAGAGAAGCGGCTTCTGATACTGAAGCCGACAAGGAAAAATGGGCACCACCTAAGCGCGTAAGAATTTTGAATTTGGAAATCTTTTTTCCCTAGGAAAAAGAAATGCGTAGATTCAAAGCATTCCGTTGAATATTTTTATGTAAGAAATTGCTATGAATTTGGGACATGATCTCATATATTCAAGACTATCCATGACAGTACCTTATATTCTTACTTGTGGCTGGTTATTTAGATTAGAATTAGAAATAGAAAATATGCACTGTTATCCTTGAAAACCTGGGAAATCTCTAAATTCTAAATGAAGACATATCACTTTCCTAATTTAACTAGGTAAAAGATACGGCGATGGTTAGATTTAGAAGGCAGTTGTTACTTGAATTGTCTTTTCTTGTATACCATGATTTCCTTATCAGCAATGGTTTTCACTGCCAGGTTAGAGGAGATATAGCAAGGGCAGTGATGTATATGGCAGTTTGTTATGGATTTCACCTTTCTGATTCTCCAAACAAGGGTAGGTTTCAAGAAAAAATAAAAAAGCAATAATAGCCAATGCAATGACATATTTACAGATTTTACTACTTCAATCATTTATATGAATTCCAAAGAATATTAACAGATATTATGGAGTCTGATGCAGTAATTTTATAAAATTTTCTGTTTCCCTGTGTTTCAATTTTAGAAATGTGTTTCAATTTTAGAAATTATGATAAGAAGAGCATAGCAATGCATAGGAGGAGTGTTTGAAGAGAATAGGATATTAAAAAGATAATCATGAGATAGCGGGAAGAGCTCAGAAAATTAATAATGAGGGAGAAGTACTCTTCTGGATTGTGGGTTTGGGGATGTTGAAGGAGAGTTAGTGTTGCTAGAGACTTCTTGGAGATGCTTATATGTGGGATGTTTTTAATTCTTTCTATTGTGCAAGTTGAGTTATACAAGCTCAAAATTTTGTAGTGCCTCGATGCCAGGTTGGATTAAGTGTCGGTCATGGATGGAAAGCTTGAAAAAATTTTAATGTTGAAGCATAGGAGCAGGTGATGGGATCAATGGTCATGTCCTCTCCCGTGGATTAGTGGGATGGGTCCCAACACCACGATTGTCCAGGAATAAAATTTTGCTTAATAGATATAAAAAATGATTGTTCAGATCTTAATAGGTTTCATCCATTTTCTGTAGGAAATAACGAGATGGGCCTACTTTCCACATTGTTAAAGTGGAATGAGAGTGATCCGCCATCAAGAGAAGAGAAGTTGAGAAATGACAGAATATGCAAGCTTTATCAGCACAATAGAAATCCTTTCGTTGATCATCCAGAATATGCTGATCTAATTTGGAAGCAAATTTCTCCAACTCGTGAAAGCTCAAAGTTCCATAAAGGAAAGCAATGACCAATTCACCTCCTAACCACAAGGTGAGAGTTTCTTAGGAGGAGGTATTCTTTTGTCCTTAGTTATCTTCACTCTTTTCTCTGCTTATTGAAGGAGGAAATCATGACGGTAGTAATGCAATAAAATATGTATAATATAATGCTATAATGGAATTTACAGTTCTTAATGATTAACCAAAAGCTTGACATATTAGGCTAGGGTTGATATTCCCAATTCCTTCTGATTAGTGGATTTAGATATTAATTTAGTTTAATATAAAATGGAGGAAATAATACTTCAATAATTTAAATTTAGAACTTCGTACCATAATATCATGTAAATCATCCTTAAGCTTTCTCAAAGCTTAAGCTATTAAGCTAAGAAAAACTTTTCAATCCTTTTTTCTTCTTTGAACTCTACTTTTTTTCCTTGCATCTTCATTTATCCAAAGCTTCATTAGCATAGCCACCAAAATCAGATCTACCATCTGTTCCTCAGCAACAAAGGCTAACATTAGTGAAAGATAAGAGGCAACACCCTTTTTAACTATTACAGGAATCATAGTTATGAATGTATTGTTGATGCTGGAATTAACATTCCCCTTACGGAAAAAAAATCCTGAAATCCGTAGTTCTTCTCTAGAAATATGCTTACCCCATTTTCAAGGGTTTATGCATTATCATCAGGTCCCAAGGCTTTTTTGAACCTGAATCTAATTTCCTCCTTACAAAGTTTCTCTTGGTCACCTTTTATTCTCTTTGGTGGGTGGGTTCCACCTCTATGAATGATCTTGGCAGAAAAGATTTTAAGAAAAAGGAAATAAGCTCTTTTAACAATGTCATATCATTATCAAAATTGTCTCATCTTATGATAAAATTTTAGAGAATATGTATAAAAATCTATATCTTCTTCAAGAAATTAGAATGCCCCATACCAAGATGGAATATTGAGTTGACGTAGAAATTTTGTTTCTATTATTGTGATGACATGTGAACAGTTGAAATGACAAGATTAGTAGAAAAGTGAAAAGCAGAGAAGCGCATTAATGTTTTTAGTGAGAGTAATCTAAATACCTTACTGTAATGGTCCTCATCAAAATTGAGACACCAATGTCCTGTTGACATAAAAAATGGAACGACTAAGTTAAAACTATATGATAATTTAAAAATGATGATAAGTGGTTCGATTTCTCCTCTAACTTGTAAAGATGCAATGGCTTGGAAGTCAAAGAGCAAGTTTCTTTTCCATGACAAAGCAGGCATTGGCATTGCCTTCACTGTAGAGGAGGAGTGGTATCTGCACAATTATTCCTCGAGAGATCTCTGTTCCTTTTATGCCTTCTGTTCAAGAAAGCTGGTTTCGAAGGTGTTTGAATGATTTCAAATTTGTATGTTAGCATGGCAACAATCTCAGACATTGCAGGTCTCAGGTTGCCATGGGGCTGAAGGCACAACAAAGCAACCTGAATCGCATGTGCTACATCCTTCTCCACATATCCACCATCCTTCATCTTTAGATCCACAAGTTCGATTACTGCTGACCTCTCATATAGTTTCCATGCCTGTATAGTATCCTTAAATAATCATATTTGAATGCCTTAGAAATTGATAAATACTTGATAATAGCTGAGGGATTTTATGCATACATATTCAGGAAGATACTGCATTTCGGATGGTAAAGAAAGATTTGTGTTTTTTCTACCACTGATGATTTCAAGCACAAGAACTCCAAAACTGTAAACATCTGCCTTCTCTGACAGTTCCCCCCTAATTGCATATTCTGGTGCTGTATAGCCCCTGAACAAATGGAGGGCATGTCACAATGCTATAACAACAGAACGCTACATCAAATTTTGTAGCCAATGTTTTATCAGACGTGCCTCACAGTAAGGGAAGTTAAATGGAAGGCTTACAGAGTTCCAGCAAATGTAGTGCTAAGGTAAGCTTGGTCATCAGGGAAAAACCTGGCCAGCCCAAAATCACCAATCTTCGGTTGAAATTTGTCATCGAGAAGAATGTTGCTTGCTTTGATGTCCCGGTGAATAATTCTTAGGTGGGAATCCTCGTGTAGATACTGCAACCCTTTAGCAATGCCTCTGATAATCTTCAATCTGGTGTTCCAGTTGAGGAATTGGTCGCTTTGTCCTATGTTGTGGGATAATCCAACATTATGTATTGGAAGGTAAAAGGGTAGGGAAGATCAGATAGAGAAGGATAACTAGTACCATATATTATGAGATCCAAACTCCTGTTCTCCATGTATTCATACACGAGTAGCCGCTGAGGCCCATCTGAGCAACAACCAAGCAGGCGAACAAGGTTCTTGTGTTGGATGCTTGTTATCAGTCTGACCTCTGATAGAAATTCAGGTTCTCCTTGCTGGGATTTGTTAAGTGAAAGTTTCTTAATTGCAACCAATTTTCCATCTTCTAGCGTTCCCTATAAAGATAAGTTTCTCTTTAGTCCAAAGCTAAGTTTTGAAGTAACGTAATGTGGGATTGATCTTTTTCACGAATTAATTATATAATAATAAATTCTGCATGCTTGGACTCCAGTAGACCTTTATCTGTCAAATACATTCAAATCATATTTTGCATTTAAACCCATCAACTGCATTAGCATACATATATATGTTAGAGAAATATAGAATCTTTTCATATGGCGATGCAAATGTAGCAGGAACTAATTCTTGTGCATCAAATTATTCTAGCCAATGAAACTCAGATACCAGATAGACGGGTCCAAATCCTCCCTGTCCAAGAAGATTTGCCGGATCAAAGTTCTTTGTTGCCTTTTTCAATGTGTGAAAATCAAAGTAACTTATTGAGTGGAGGTTCTCACTCAACAAATCTGCTGATGCTGCAACGTGAGATGAAAATATTTACTTTTTGCAATTTTGTAAACATTATTATTTTCTACTGATCTTGCCACTAACTCTATTACCTTGAGCTGTTCCAGTTTGTCTTAATAACTTCACCACCTTATTCGGTTTGAGAGACTTCCTAAAGATCAATACGAGAATCAACAATATTACCAGCACAGCTAGAATCCCGAGGAAAAAGAAGAACACTGGAGAATGTAGCAGAGATGATGTAGAGCGATCATCAGAGGTTCCTGGGACAACAGAAAAAGCAAAGCACCATGAGATTGTGTCGCACACAGAAGTTCATTACTAGGATTATATAAATTTTTCTGGCTTCAAAATGCAATTTGAATCACTATGAACATTACTGGAAAGAGGGAAGGCTCCTACAACTTAAAATTTCTTGCCAAGACAAAGGCCAAAGTTAATGTTCAGTTTCATATCTGGTTCGAACAACTGTCCGAATCAGTGGGGAGTTTACATTTACCTTCAAGTATGCGGCGAGGCATCCTTCAGTTGGCCTGCAGAACATAAAGGAAGAAGCTTGCAACAAAATATCCAATTCAGGTTCCCCCTTCTCTGTGTTTGTCTCTGCTTCTTGGGTTTTCTGTTTTATTGTTTTTGCCTTTGGGTGGGAAGTGAGGCTGCTGAAAATGCTTGAGCTGAACAGATGATGACACAAAACCAACATAGTTTTTGTCGAAAGAGGGAAATTAGTGGGGAAGGGTGAAACTCCCTCGGATATTACAAATTCTCATTTGGGTCTTGTTTGCTGTTGTGTTGTGGCAATCTGATTGAAATATCCAAACTTTTATTTTCTTTTCTAATTTTCCTTTCTTTGATTGATATTGTAAAAATGGATAAAAGCAGGGACAGGGACATTTGTTTGTGATGTCCAGACACAGATGGGATTTGTTGTTCTCAACAACAGCTAATTGAAAAGAACAAGAAATGTGTTCATGGTACGGCTTTCTTCTCTGTCTTTCTTTCTTCTTGTTGTGCTTGTTCTAGAATTATCAACAGATAACCTTAATAATCACCCCCTTCATCTGTATTATGAGATAAATTAATTTGCTATTATGTATTATTATAGCCTTTATTTTATTTTATAAAATGTTGTATTGCGAAAGAAGAAAAAGACCATTTGAGTTATGCTGGATATATCATAGTGTCATGCTTTTTATTTGAAACCCATATTTCATAATATAAGAATAACTATTTCACTCTTGTATTTTTTTTTTTAGTCAAACGTATATTGTCCATGTAAAAAGAATAAATAAATAAAGGTGAAATATTTTGGTAATTCCAACTTTCAAATTCACAACAAAATTTTGTTTAGTATGTTTAACTTAAAAAATTATCTAACGAACCTTGAGTTTTTAAATGTTGTATTTGATAGATCTCTAAATTTTAAAAGATGTGTAATAAGTTTATGAACTATTAAATTTGTGTTTAATGCATAATAGATATTTGATTCACACAACATTCTTTAATTTTTTTTAAGTACGACAAATTGAGGGCATGAGAGTTTGAACATTCGACTTTAAAGAAAGGAGTTGAAGGAATAAGTGTTAATTATCACTGAACTATACTCAAGTTGACAATTAACACGGTACCTTTAAATAAGGTTTAAGAACCTGTGACTCAAAATTAATATTTTAGAGACTTGTTACACACTCCTCAAAATTCAACCATTTATTAAACATTTTATAAGTTTAAAGATTGGGTTGGAATTCAACAATTTATTAAACATTTTATAACTTATTAAATATTTGATTAGAAGGAAAACAAGGCAGTGGGGGCAGAGGGGTCAATTGATTGAGATTGGGTCAAAACGCAGAATTCCAAAGCTTTGAGATCTGGAAAAAGTCAACATGTCAAGTAAAATCCAACAAACATAATTAAATTAGTTAAAGAAGAATTCAACCGTGGGTTACACTTCATTTCTTAATCATAGTTTAAGATTAAAACGTCAATCCCAATTAATTACCCAAAAAACCACAAACCCAAATCATCACAAAATCATTCCCTCTTTCGTATTGTGGACACTGGTTTCTGCTAAAACCAAACATATGTTGTTTGTCATTTCTCCCCCTGGCCTTAGGATCCCATCTTGAGATTAGAGCCTGAAAATGGGCCTTCGATTTTATCTCGCACCGAAAAAAAGATACAGTACTACACGAGTACTATACTCTTTACTCTTTTTGTTTACATTTATATATAATTTTTTAATATCAATGAACTCCGTGTCATTTTTATACAATCTTAACGTGGCAGGTAATGAATGAAATGAGTATTCATACTCCCGTAGTATCAGAAACTTCCCGTATCAACGTCACAGCGGGAAAGCTCACGCCCAACTCGTTCAGAACTCAGAGAGAGAGAGAAATGGGAAAAGTAAGTTTTTATTGGAAAGTAGTTTCGAAATTGAATGCACACTGTCCACAGTTGTTTGTCAGCTGCTACAAAAAAGAAAAGGAAAGAAAAAGAAAACAGGGCACTATTCAATTCCATTGCTGTTCACCCAGAATTCTCTTTTTTTTCCCTCTTTTTTTTCTGACCCATTTCAATTCAATGCCCTTTCCAAAATCTGGGATATGCGTATCATATTGGTGGGATTTCATTTTCCCTTCTCTTTCTCTCTCTCTCTCTCTCTCTCTCTCTCTTCCTATTTTCTTTCTCCTTAAAGCACCTATCTGACCTAACCAACTAATTCCCATGAACTGAATTGGAATACCCAATAAAATTTCTATCAAAAAAGCTGATGGGTTGCTTTCTCTTATGCTCTTCAACCTCTTAACCATTCAAGTGATTACAGTTACATTCTTAAATGTTATGTCTTTATATTCATTTTTAAGTCAATAGTGATCAACGTAGGGTATATCGGAGTAGGAGATTTTGTGTTCGAATCCGTGCTTGTTGAGTCTTGAGTCTTGTGCTAATATTGGTGTTTGGAATATTCAGCAATGCGAACAAATGGGTGGGATGGAAGGGAGAGCTTTGGTTTCACTTACATTAAAGAACAAAAATTAGGATGTATCAACAAAAGAAAGAACAAACTCATGATCAACAAAACAAAGAGCTTAAGAGTACAAACAAAAAAGAAGCATCATCATCTTTCATCATCTACACAGCAACAAAAAACAACAATTGTTTGAGCTTCAACTTTTTTTTTTCCCCTCATCTACTTATTGTGAAGTGGGTTAGGGCCAGTGGGGACAACCCTTTTCTCCTCAGAGCTGCTGCTTCCATTATTGATCGTGGCCATCTCCTCAGAGCTCGAGAAGGAGCACTCACAACAATGGAGGTTCTTTGACTTGCAAGAACCGAGTGTCGTCGTCTCCATTGTAGTCGTTAAGCTGTCGTTGTCGTCCTCGCTACCGTTGTGAGCCGGGAACAACATCTTCCGAGCTCCGACGACCGAGCCAATGCAGATTAAAATAGCATAAATTATCCAAAGCACCAAAATGGTGGACTGAGCTACTCTCATTGCACCCTTCATATCCCAAAGTTCCAAACTTTAGGAATCATGTGAAGACCCACAAAACCAAAAGATGAGAATATACTTGAAAACACCTCTCTATGGGGAAGTTGATAAAAAACAAACAAAAACAAAACAACAGAATGCTGAATTTATACTTGAAAAGTGACCTGTGAAGAAGAGAGAGAGAGAGAGAAGGAAAGGCAAAAGGAATTGGAGAAGAGAGAGAGAGAGATAAGGGAGGAGAAGTGAAGAACATTAACTATGGTGCCTTGGAAGAAATATACAATAAAAAGACCTTTTTTTTTTCTTATTGATACATCAAAATCGCTCTCTCTGATCCAAAAAAAAACCCTTTTTTTTATTCACCAACCCTCATTAATGGCCATTGGCATTGGATGAAATATCATAACAAAATTAAACAAGACAAGAATTTGTAATTGGGAACTGTAACAAAAGCCCAAAACATAACATTCTGTTCTCACATATATAATTAAAACCCACCCATAACCCTAAACACACACACCTACTTCTCCACTTCTCCCCCTAGATTCAAAAGAAAAAAGAAAAAATCTTTTTTTTTTATTTTTTTATTTTTTTAAACCCCACCAATATAATTCAAATTCCTCCCTATAAACCAGTGAGTAGTTAATGGAGGAAGTTTGTTCAATGGAGGATCTCCACGTGCTCTCAAAGGCAATGTGCAATTAAAAGCTGACAGAAGCTTGGGGGAGACGTTCATGGAGTAAATGATCATCCAAAAGATTAGCTTTTGGCAAACAAATTTTCATCTTCTTTTTGCTTCCTCTCCTTTCACAGCTTTTTGCTTGTGTTTTAATGGTGTTTCTGCTAGCTTGCTTCTGTCGCTTATAAACTTGGAAATTACGTTATTAAGAAATCACAAGAGTAAGATGAAGGTGGGTGTATATGTATATAGAAACTTTGATTATGAAATTATAATCATTTTTTTCTTCTAGTTTTTAAATTCTTATGATCTGTTGTGTTCACTTAATATATTTTTTTAAAGTTTTAATGAGTATTTTCGCTCTCGGCTTCGTTCGTAAAGTTCAAATTTTTTTTGTTGGACCAGAGGATCATTTTGAATTTGTTCATGGATTCAATCTCAAAATGAATGGGATAGAAATTAAGTAGTCCATATGTCTTATAAACCTCATTAGATCCTAGAATAGATCCTAGGATGTTTTCGATTTGGGATTATTAATAATTTCAAAGATGATGAATTAAAGAATTACTCTAATCTTACTTGTGTGAAGATAATAATCACTACAACAAATTTAGGTTTTTTCGACGTAATTTTTTCTAACGCCTTTAATTTCGTCAAGTAAAATCATTTGGGATTCGAATACTAAATATTTATTTCTTTTTTGAGTGCTATTTTCCATACTTTTTTAGTTAATTTAAGATTAATTTATAAGTTTGTTTTTGAATTTTGTTGTGTCCAATTTTAAAAGGTGTCTAATAAGTCTACTTTTTGCACTTTTCAATTTTTTATCTACTAGATCTCTAGACTTTAGATTCATATAAGAATCATTTTTAAAAGTTAAGCCTCGAGCGTTTTGGTATTCAACTACTATAACGTCTTGGGTTCAAGCCCATGTTGGTCACCCCGTTATTTCAACTCCCGACTATGAGGATCCACGGAAAAGAAAAAAAAAATATATATATATATATATTTATATTTTGACCAACTTTATAATTTAACCTTAATTTATCTTAAAAACTCAAAATTGAATTAAGTTAAAACTAGCCACTTGCATTGCTGTTTAATGAAGGGTGGTGTGTGATCAGAGTTTCTTCTTTCATTAATTACTTTCACAAAAAAGGTAATAATTAATTAATTGAACTTAGCTGACTAATCTCCTAGTAGCTCTCAATTTGAGAGAAAGAGAAGAGGAGGGTTTGAATTAGAGGAGTAAATGAACTAGGGCTGCTATATATATAATTATTTTCAATTATTATTATTAATAAGGTTTCCTAAATTCTTTTTTTAGTATTGATTGGATGAAAATATCAAAATGTTGCTTTGATGCTTTACTAGTTAAGCTTATGAAAATTAAGAGAATTAACCTTTTTTTCAAACTTGATATTTATTCCTAAAATGGGAGGCTATGTTTTACTTTGATTTACATTTTCGAGGAGCAACCTTCTTCTTAGGTGAGACTACAAAAAATTTTAAAAGTGTCCATTCGAACATAATTCAGTAGATATAAGGCATTAATCATCATTATAAAAGTCGATATTTTAGTTCCTGTCCCTAAACTAAAAAGATATTAAAAGTAAATTATGTCATATTATTTTTATTAAACGGTATGTCTTTGTCTTTTATTTCTCTTCTTAATCAACTTTTAATGTGAAAGAAAATTAAACACACCCTAAATCCTTTTTTTTTTTTTAATAAATGAGAGGAAGTAGAAAATAAGTACTTTATTCTAAAAAAATATTTCTCCATGATCAAAGAAAGAACCAAGAATATATAGTTTTTACTAACTGGATATACATAAATTCACTGATGATGTTAATTATCTTTTTCAACAATTGAATTAATTTTCAAGTTAAAAAGTAATTATAAAATACATTTTTAATTAAAAGAACTCGTAAATATTAAGTGAAAAGTAAGCCTATAATTAAGCTTTTGAAAAATAGATTAAATTGAATCAAAATTTTGGGCACAAGGAAAAAAACCAATAAATGAGAACAAGTCACATTTAATTACTTTCTTGGAGGCAATCATTAAAAAACAAAGAAAAATATTGGTCTCTATCACCCAAAAAAGTACTTTTGTTTATGAGCTCTATGCCAATAGAGTAAGCTAAATATATAATTCCCCCAACTTTATAGATGGCAAATATTAACTTTATACTTAACTTATTAGCAATGATTCCATCTATAAAACTTAGAAATTGATTGATTGGAAATTAAAAAATTTGTTATATATTAGGAAAATTATACGTCTTTATTATAATATGATATGAATTTTCGTAGGTTGAAATTTTTGTATGATTTTTCTTTTAATTACTATCCAAAAAGTCTAATACCAATGAGACATCGTTTAATTTTAACGGGTTAGGATCTCGACACCTACTTTTACTCCATGATTCTATTAACAATTTTTTATAGAGAGAGAGATATATATAATGGAAGTCAAGAAAATAGAAAATTGATGGAAATTTCAGACCAAACTTCTCAAAAGGTGAGGGTTGGCATTATAGAAGGCTTTCATGTAATCGGAGAGAAGACTAGATTTCAAAAGTCACAGTCAATAAGGACCTTTCAAGTAATATATGTGCAAATAGTGGAGCAAATAATGATGGATACAATATTTTATCAATTAATTTTAGATATATATTTTTTTCATTTCTCGGAATAGATATATGTTATATTGATGCCAGTGGATCCTTATAATAAGAGCTCGTTACTGGATTGAGCAATATTATATACTGTGACCAACGCACGGCTTAAACTTGAGACCTCAAGATAGGTGATATCTCAACGTCTCAAGCACTTATCGCTGCACCATCTACAGAAAACCAATTAATTTTAAGTATTGGAGAGGGGGAGGAGTAATTTTTTGTAGTAATAATTTTTTTTAATTCAATAAAATGTAGAGTTGGGAATTTTGAACTTAACTTTCTTATCGATGATACATATCTTAACTCTGAGTAGTGATTTAAGATTTAATGCAATGAGTCTTTCATTGTAATTTAAGTAATATATATAGGTCACAATTAATTTGCTTTTCGTAATTAATTATGGTATAACTCAAATAATTGACTATTTGAGTTTGCTACAACTATATTATGTCATTGTAATTTGCACAATTATGAGTATTTCCACCTCAATAATCAAGTAACATGATTCATTTATTTGCAATTTTAGGGTCTTCTTTTAGCTTTAACAATAGCAAGGTGTAAGATCGAACAATCGATCTTAGAAATGATAATACTTGTCTTATCTACTTAACTGTGTTCGAGTTGAGTATTTTAAGAGTTCATTCCATAGAAATTTGTACATCTAATTGACGTAAATTATATTAGTTAGGTTTGGTCTCAAGGGGTAAGTTTAATGACCAAATGTAATTTTCCTTAGATTTTCTTTTTGTAAAGTTATTTTTTATTTTTCATTTACTTTCTTCCTTTTTAATAGGTTGTTATTACAATCCTAAAGTGATAGATTCAATCTCTACTAATTTTTTTTTATAATTCAACCAGTTATATTTTTTATTTATTTAGTACAATATGTAGAGGTGGGAGATAGAACTCACAATCTCTTGATAAGCATCCATACCTTAAAATTTGTGCAATACTGGCTTTGGTATTACTATTATGATTTAGAAGAGTTGTTTGGCGATGATTACAAGAATATATATATATATAGTTTGTTGACATGATATATGGTCAAAGATTAGGTGCTTAAAAATCTAAAGGCTTTTACTAAACCAACCCAAATAGGAGTTCCATAATCACAAATTTAAAAGAAAAATAAATATATACTTTTACTTTTAACAACAATATAAACCCCACAAAAAAGTCCAACTTTCATTCACAAGTTCCCATTATCAAAAACTATATGTTTCAAACTCAAACAGGAGGAAAAAAAAAAACTACATTTTTTTGGCTCATTTTAGACCACATGGAGAGAAGAAAAAAAAAAGAAGAGAGAGATTCTGGTCCAAAATTGTCATTTTCCATGAAATACTTACAAACCCTTCAACCATTAGAGAAGAAAAAAGAGTTATTTCTTGGTCCAAAATTGTTCATATGCCATGAAAAAATATTATAAACAAACCCTTAATAAAACAAAAGAGAGAGATATCAATAAATATATGTGTAAATGTTAAAACTCTTTTATTCAACTACTAAAAAAGTTGTACTGAAAATTAATTAATGAGAGTATAGGGGGGAAAAGAGAGAATTAGAAATTAAATTTAGACCCATCTTCCACTCATTTTTGTTAGGTTTAAACCCACAAAATTACAGGTGTTACATTATAATGCTAATTTCCCTCTCCAAATTCCTTCTAAGATTTAATCTATCTTAATTAATACCAATATTAAGCTAATTAAAACCCGAAATTAAGTCTCCAATCCATTAAAACAAATCCCATCTTCCCACGTAAATTAAAAGTACCCATCATTTTATGAGAGCACCATTTTTTTCCATAACATAATTTAGACCATAATTCATCATATAAAAGCTGTAATCGTTATTGAATTAAATTATGACCCTTTTTTTTCTGTACCACCAACAAAAAAAGAAGAAAAAAAGAGCCCCATTAAATTATTGTGGCAGAGGCGCGGCGGCGGTGGCGGCGGCGTTCCTCGTAAGCTTGTTGCAAGAAGGGCAAATTGTGAGCGTCGCCGCCTTGGGCAGCTGAATATACAACTGAGAAGCTCCAATTTTTAAGGATCTTAATTCTTGAACCTCTTTTTTCAACCTTCGATTCTCTTCGTTCAACCTTTCGCAGCATTTCTTCAGAAACTCGCAATCTACTTCCGTTTGTTTCAGTTTCGTCCTGTAAAGAAAAATTGGAACGTAAATCACAACTCTAACTCCAAAACTACTTAAACTACAGTAGAACTTTCCGATCTGAATACCATAATAATATTCATTGGTTCAATCTCAAAATCAATTCAACCTATGATTATTATAAATCTATGTAAGTTCTATGATCTTTAACCGTTGTCTTTGGTGATGATCTGTTCTTGCATGGTGAAGAAATTAAACAATAATAATGATTAATGTTGAAATTTTGTAATACCTTGCTCGTCGGTTTTGAAACCAAACTTCCACTTGTCGTGTTTTGAGGTTTAATTGTTGGGCAAGTGCCTGCTTCTGAGCCTGCAAAATCCATGCAAAAAAATGAAAAAAGATCAAATTTTTGGTTAAAAAACGAGATGGGTATGAAGAGAATCGAAAAGGGTCAAATGGGTTTTGTTCAAAAGAATCAAAAATTAAATGATCTACCGGATTCAAGGTCGTGTGAAGTTTGAAGCTTTCTTCGAGCAAATTTGACTGTTCTTTGGAAAGCCTGAGTTTTTTCCTCTCTGATGATCCATTGATTACAATGGAGCTGGAATCTCTAATTTGATCTTGATTATTATTGCTTCTAATTCTCTTCAAATGATCATGATCGCTTGAAGAAGCTTCAATCTCCACGTTAATCGCTTCCTCCTTTGGAATGAGAGTGAAAGAGAGGTCAGAGAAGAATTTTGGGTTATGATTATTAATCTTCTTCTTTGGAACATATTCTTCGCCAAAACCCAATCCTAGGCCGAGCCTGATGTTGCAGATTTCATCGTCTCCTCCCATGGCGGATGTAGAGAGAGAGAGGAAGAGGAGAGAGAGAGAGAGAAAAAAAAATGGAGATTATTTGAAGAGAGAGTTTGAAAGAGGTTTTCAAGCTTAATCAGTTATGATGATCAGTTGTGGTGTTTCGGGATTTAATTATTGGGTTTTATGAATGAGTTTGTGAAGTGAAAGTTCTTTAAAAAATGAAAAAGAAAAAGAAAAAAGTAATGACTTTTGGGAATGAGAATAAAAAAAAAAGGAAAAAAA